CTTGATCTTCTGAATAATCTCGACCATGTAGCCAAAGTTGAGATCCTTCACGGCATCAAAGACTTCAAAGAAGAATTCTCCGGTTTATTGGTATATATATTGAAAGAAATCGATTTCTCTATAACCCTCTCCGAGTCTGATGCACATCTTAAAAGACTTGATCCCTTTTTGTTTTTGTAGGAATCTGCTGGACCGTCAAAGGTGATAACCGCTGCAGATATCGAGCAGATGTTTTCAAATCTGAAAAACAAACGCAAAAGGATGGAGTGAATAGAGAGAGGAATTAAGGTACTAAAATCGTCTTTCTTTACACACATCTCATGTTTCCTCTCTTTTAGGATATGTTGGCTTGAAATGAGGAGTGAGGAGGTTCCTCTGCTTTTGTTTGTCTTTAGTTCCTAAGTTATGCAAACACAACTTTGTACTTTCTTTAGTGTATGGAGTTTGTAATGCTTATGGGTTACAGTTGACTATTTTGCATAAGCTCCCAAGTTCTATAACTTTTTAATGTTATATCGGTTTGAATTTATATTGAGAAATTACAACAACAAACAACAACCATTTAGGTGTAAATATAACATATAAGCCAGATACAAACCAATGAAATTAAATAAAAACTATCATTCACTGAATAAATTGGAAGTACTCTGAAGTCTGAACATAATACCTAGAAAATATCTAGAAAATATGAACTGTTTAGTTTTTTACTTTTTGTTGCCCAAGAAAAGAAAAGTAATTTCATTTTCTTACTATAAAAAAAAAAAGAGTTGGGCCATAAGACAAGACAAAAGTTTGGGCCATCAAAAGTAAATATAGCTTATGGGCTTGGGAAGATCGAAACAGTTAGTCCATACAAAACAGTAGTGAGATGTGTCAATTTTTTGGTTATGGACAATGACATCATTTATGATTCGTATTGGTTTTCTTAAAAACGAAATAAATGAATCTGTAGATCGAAGTTGTAAGCTCGTGGTCGTGGGCCCTTGAAGATGTGGGAGTAACGACAAGCCCCGTGACACTGCCACGTACTTGTCTTGTCCTTTCGTAATTTCCTCGAAGTTTCTCTTTTGAGTGATTAGCATTGATGCAATGCAATCCAATAATTATATAACGCGTAGTGCTTAATAATAGGTTCATCTGATAAGATCGTTTATTAATAACATTTAGAATATTCCGTAAATAATTAACTATGATTAAATTCTTTTGTATTCATATGTTTGTTAATATAAGATTAAATGCAATAATTGTGGATGTTATCACATCACAATCGCGCTAGTATAAGACAACCGTTTCAACTGTATTTGTGCACCGTATAAATCATTTACGAGAGTATTTTTCGTATATATACGTCAAATACTATTAGTTTAGTTGAAGTCTGTATAGTATTTGACGTATATATTCCAAAATCATTTTGTTATCCATAAAATCCGGAGAACATTAAAAAAAATTGGGTTTGACATTGTTTGAAACAGATCATACTATGAATGATATATAGGATGAATTATTGGATCCTATTAATTAATTAAATTCTGAAGGAAACGAAGATGAATGTATCTACAAGCTACTATTATCATCTAAGTATATAACATTTGTTTAATACTAATTAATAAGAGTAAATGGGTTTTATATTCGAATTAAATTATACTATTAAATCTAACGACGATTATAAAAAACAAACAACAGGTTGGTGCTTGGTATAAATGTGCGTTGCCAGGTTTTAACACGGTTTTGGTTTGGTTTATTATATACACCAACTAACCGGAAAGAACATGAACTTGCATTCTTCTTATGGCTTTTACAATCTATTATTACATAGAGAATCTGTGAGGTTTCACATATATCTGACACTGGCACGTTAGCATTCCTCCATATACCATATCAGTTTCATTACC